TTGTTTCTGTAGTCAACATGGACTACCATGGTCTGTTCCTGGTCTGGTTTGAGCTGCTGATATTGAGTTTCTCCCTTGTGTCTTCCCACAGTGTAGTCAATTTGATTTCAGTGCATTCCATCTGGGGAAGTCCATGTGTATAGTTGCCTTTTTTGTTGTTGAAACAAGTGATTTTTTATGAACAAGTCGTGGTTTTGCATGTGATCTCCAGCTTCATTTCTATGATCCAGTCCATGTTTTCGAACTACCGTTCCTTCCTTTTTGTTTCCAGCCTTTGCCTGGCAATCTTCAATAACTATCAATACATCTTGAGTGCCTGTTTGATCAATTTGAGACTGAAGTCATTAGTAGTATTCTTCAATTTCTTCACTAATTTTTGTGGTTGGTGCATAAAATTGATAAATAATTGTATTGATTGGGTTTCTTTGAGGGGAGCTAGATATAATCTGATCATAGATAGCATTGTATTTCATGATGGATTTAGCAAGATCCTTTCTGACAAGGAGTGCCACGTCATTTCTCTTGATTGTGTTATTCCCAGCATAGTAAAACATAATTTTCTGCATCAAAAGAGCCAATACCATTTCAGTTCACTAATGCCTAGGATATTGATATTGATCTTCACGCATGCTTTCTATTTCTATTTCATTTTGACCACTTCCAATTTTCCTAAATGCATACTTTGCACATAGCAAGTTCCAGTCATTAGAGCATCTTTGCAGCTGTTTCTCTTACCACGAGTTGTGTCCCATCAGCAAAGGAAGATCCAGAAGGCTCCCCTCGCACAGGCTCTACCCGACTCAAGTCACCATAGTTGACTCCCCTCTAAGAAGTCAGCTCATGTTCAGTCTCCTTTCAAGTGCCCTAGACCCAAGGGGCCCAATGTTCTCCTTCCTATGTTTAGGCTTTCCAGATTGCGTCAGGTTTTCAGTTGCTCCTTCCTCTGACTTGAAGAGGCGAGTCCTTCTTCTTCTTCTTCTTTTTTTAATCGTTTTATTAGGGGCTCATACAACTCTTATCACAATCCATACATACATCTATTGTGTAAAGCACATTT